TGAGTGGTAATTCTGAAATTGTTTTCCTCTTTACTCAAAATCATGTAACACAACAGATTTCTACCTTAGCTCTACCGTATAGCCTCTTAGTATGACTTGCTGTAATTGGCATCAGTCTGATTTCTCTAGCAGTTGAGTTTGTACCGTGCTGCCATCTCATCAGTAACTCTAAGCCACTGAGAGAGGGCAGTGTTGAAAGCACAGTTTCTCAATCAATAAGCATTATACTGACATTACACAGGAATGTGTATCAAAAAAAAAAAAAAAAAGACCTTTATGCAAGGCACTGAAGCCACTTTGTACCTGGTTTTGCAGCAATACGTTGTATTGCAGCAGTACATTGATCATAATGTGAGTTGCAGACGATAAAATGGCAGACTACTACATGCTTGGTTGGAGAAAAAAGAAAGAAAGAAAGAAAAAAGCTAACCATGATAAAGGACAGTTCCTGAAAATATTTACAAGCTGCAGACTTAACACAACTACTGTGTTGTCAGTTGATAATGGCTGTCACAGCTTCCCAAACAGTAGCACTGAATCAATTCACAATTTGGAAAATTACATACTTCCAACACTGAAAATGGGTATTTCAGATTAGAATACATAAATTCACATTGCTGTTTGTATTCAATCTGCATAATCTATCTCTAAAAGTTCTATCACTCTTATATGTTGCTCTGATATTCCTCATGGGTGTACTTTCCAGAAAAGCAAACTGAAGACAAGTGATTTTGTTCCCTTTTCTGTACTTTGTCCAGAAAGCATTATGTACAATGATCTACTGTAACCTAATGATCAAGTCACTGCAACTGAGATGATATCTCAGGCATCTATAGCTGGATTTTATCTCTGGGGGAAAAAAAAATTAACAGCAGCTTGGCACTGAGTTAGTTTTCTAATTAAATCTTGATGTAGCCCTTCACTTTTAAGATACCAGTTGTTGTGCAAGGAAGCAGAGAGCAGTCAGGATAATCAGTGACAAATGCACACACTGATTCACCTCCTGGAAGAGGTTCTGAGACAGAGTTGCTTGTATGATGTGGGAAACACTGGATTTTAAGACACCCTCGCAATGTGTTTGTGTAGAGGAATTTAAACTAAAAGAGGGTGGATTTAGACTAGATGAAGGAATTTTTTACGGTGAGGGTGGTGAAACACTGGAGCAGGTTGCCCAGAGAGGTGGTAGATGTCCCATCCCTGGAAACATTCAAGGTCAAGTTGGATGGGACTCTGAGCAACCTGATTTAGTTGAAGATGTCCTTGCTTACTGCAGGGGGGTTGGACTGGGTGACCTTTAAAAGTCAACCCAAACTATTCTATGATTCTAATTTTCCATGGTAGTTCACCTGTCTGATGTAGGATCGTCAGAGATATTCTTCATTGAGATAATCAGAAGGTCTTTACAAAAGATGTCGTGTCATTGGCTTCACTATGGTTTGGAAGGCCAAGCCTCCAGAGTATCAGCAATGGTATCAAAAATGCTCTCCCAGATTTTGTTCTGTTTCTGATTTTATTAATGCAGCCTGCTGTGCTGTAGACCAGTAGCATTTGTGAGTTTCTACACAGCAATTATTGCATGAATTTCATACTCAGTCATCCATGTATTGAAGTTCCAAAGGGGCCATGTTTAAGAGGGTCCATATACATAACTGAAAATGTTCAAAAACTTTTTCTCAGTCGTTCTGTAGATGGGTGACAACTGTGAGCATGACTTGAACAAGAAGAGTTATAATTTAACTCATGTCTGGAAGCATGCAAATTGTGGCAAACGTCACTGAAAGTCATGTAGTCCTTGCATCTCACTCAAGGCAGAAGCATTTCTGGCAGATACTTCTCTCATCTGTTCTCTGGCATGTCCATCTCTTGGTCCCTCAGATTGGGTGTTATAGGTAGCAGTACCTTGTTCTTGGCAAGAATGTACTTTAAGATGTAGTCAGAGGAACTCTGAAGTGGGCTGGATGTGGAAGAAGTGTCAGCTCCCAAGGTTGCTTTAAGAAGAAAGTCATCAATTTCAGGGCTCTTTGAAGAAATGCCAAGTCTTACACGTGTTTGGAATTACCAAATGCATTGAGATACTTTCAATTGCAGTTTTGTTATGTCAGTGGTAAAATAACGGCAGTTTCCATAAAACTGGAAGCCCTGTATCAGTAGCAGCTTCATTTTTCCATAGTTGCGTTGTGTCGTGTATGGTAAAGAGCACTTCTAAAGCAGATTTGTTACTTTTGTCCATTGCTTTAAGGCCAACAAAGAGCACAGGCAGGACTCTGCTCCATTTCCGCGCTTTTCTTTGCCTCAGGATACTGTGTGTTCCGCGGATCTCCCTCCATCTCTCGTGTGATGACTGGCAGGTGGCTGCTGCTGCTGCTGTGTTCTGCTGCTGCGTCAGAGCCTCTGATGCCGACACGATTGCACTGTCAGTATTCCTTAGTCTTCATTGCCTCCCCCTGCTCCTCAACAAGTCGTTCTTATTTGGGGGACACAGGACAGTCAGGAGCCTGCCCTCTCCTTGACCCTTCGGATAACTGACTATTCATGCAAATATTGCAAATATGTCGTTCTGGAGAGAGCAAGACATTCTTACTGTAGTATTGCTGTCCCACACCATAACAGCCTACTAGAGCGGCCTGAAAAGTGGCATACCAGTGATTATCAGGAATGGTCTCTGTCTCGGTGCCTTCCACTTCACACAGAGTGGCACTACCGTACCAGAAGCATTATCTTGCCTAGGTTTGGTTATTTCCACTGGCACTATTTTACCACAATGCATTTTCTCTAGAGATCTGCTGCCCTTCTTTGCTGTTTACGTGGAAGAAGCAAATATCAGGTCTGCTTTTTTCATTAAAGAAATAACTGTGCATGAGGGAAAGCAAGGGTGAAAGTGTACCCTCTAGGATTTGGAAGAAACCAAGCTGAAAAACCTTAATGGTATTTGTTTTGAAACAGTTTCTGCAATGGATAACAGCTGCTCTTCCAAAGGAAACAATGAGAGAAACTGTAATGACAGAAACACCCATCACAGGTCTCAGGCTCCACCGTGTACTTCTACAGACCAATGTTCCCCAAAGCACAGAAATTACGAGCATAGGGTTATTTTGAGGATCCTTGCTAAAACACAACCTCAGTGGGGCTGGTGTGTTTTTTTTTTTTTTATTTTATTCTATTATGCATGAAAAGACTTGCTCCTGTGTCAAGTCCCCATTGCCAAAATACTAGCTTGAGAGAGTTTTCAAATTTTAATTATAAGCCACATGGACTTTTAAAAATTTATATACGTATATTGACATTGGCAACCCCATCACTCTAATATAGCTCATACATAATGAGCTGTAAAATACCATTTTAATGCAAAAATAAATTCATCTAGATTCTACTCGTGCAGACAAATGTTCTAGAATAATTCAGAATGGATTATTTTTGCAGTGAAAATAATGTGGCAATTTTAAGAAATGCACTAAAGGTCTTACTTAAAAAGTATCTAGCAACACGAAGAACTAGTATTTCTACCAGGAGTTCGCTAAGATGATTAACTGTATAAGATTAATATTTTCATGGATAGTTAGTACAACTGGAAGCAAGTTTTGAAAGGTCTTTTTTAGTCTCTTGGTATTTGGACAAAACGCTTCAATGTAAAATAAACCTACAAGATTTTGATGGTAAACTGTCAGGCTTTGTGAGGAAAATGCTTTTGTTGTGGAAGAGAGGAATACATGTGAAAACTGTGTGAAAAATATTTTCTCTTTGCAGAATGGCGAGCAAAGATTGTTCAGTGGCCCTGTGAACGTTTCAGAGCTATAGGGCTGAATGAGACTAAGCTGAACATCTCTTGAAGGGTTCTGCCAGTAAATAAATTGCAAAACACAAAAGGTTTCCAAAAGAGTTTAATAAATAATGAGGTTCTTTTTGTACTGTATAAACTATAAATATACCATGCAGTCCTTTATAACTTAAAATAATTTACAGACTGAGGTAGGGGGGTAGGAGGATGTTGCCATGGGGGTTAGATCCATCTCAGGGTCTCCCTGACTTCCTGCTTGCTGAGCACGCACACACAGGCTGTGTCAATTCGAATAAATCGCCAGGCTGCTTGCTTGCCCTCCATGGTCAGCGCTTTGACAAAGGTGTGTGTTGTGGTGCAGTAAGAGTTCCAGTGCTTTGCATCAATCCCTCGGCACCCACTGGAGACTGGCTTAGGGTCCCTGCACTTGGTCTCAAAAAAGTACTGCTTAAAAATGTTGTTATTAATGTTGACCTCTCCCAACACTGTCACCTCTTTGCCTTTAATGTCAGTGGCTGTGGTTTTGTCTCCAACCCACATGCTGACGCTGTCACACACTGAGAACTCTCCCCGGTGTAATACGGGATGCGCGGTCCTCTTGGTCCTGGCAGTCCTGTTGAGAGAACTTGCACTGCTGAGAAATCCCATATTCTGTCCTTGCCCTGACACTGGGGGGGGCTGTGTGCTGAACAGCACCCGAGGAGACCGGAAGCGCCTCTTCCTAAAAAATGTTGGGTCCATGGTGATATTTATAGCTTCTCTTCTACCTATCGTCCAAGCAGAGTGGCTGTGGGATGTCTGGGGAGCTGCCTTGGGAATGTGGTGTCTGTTGCTCCGGTGGGTATTGAGCAGGGAGTGTTCTGCAGGATACTCCAGTGGAACATTGTCCTCTGACTTTGGAGCTGCCTGTGTGCCGATCAAAAAAGCTATAATCAGAGTGTAGTACAGCATGGACATTACGCTATGCACCTAGAACAAAAGAAAAACGTAATGTTACTGTAAGCCATGCTGGCACAAATGGATGCCGTTGCTGACAATAAGCAAGATACCCAGGACCATAGAGATTTCATCAGGTATTCATGTGGGTGCCAGATGTTGTTCTTCCGGCAGAGCTCATTCAGACAGCATAAGTGTTCTTAATAAAGCAAGAACATTAGAAAATAATAGCTAGATTATTATTAATTCCTCTGGTATTTGTTATTAGAACACTGTTTATGAAGCACTTGTTTGGTGTTATTAATGTGGAGAACATATGGCAACAACATGTTTCCAGGAGTAAAACCTCTAGTGATTTTTGCAGCAACCTTTTTGGCCAGGGCTGGTCTCTTGGCTGTAAATACTCTGCAGATTAGTGAGAGTAGAAGCAGCCACTTGGCTAAAATAGCTGTCCATTCAGTTAATTTGTCTGCAGAGTTGTCCTTGGGGCTAGGGCGGGGGCCACCAAGCCAGTACTTGTGGCAGGGGGCAGCCCCAGTGAACCGTGCCATTATCACACACCCAACAGCCAGGCTTACCTGCCGTGTGGACAGGCCCCACCGCTCTGGCTGGCTCAGCAGCCTCCAGCAGCCTCCATCTATCCCATCTGCCCTTTCAGGATGCACCACGTGCATCATGCTGATTTGGGGCAGATAAAGCCCAGGTTCCTTCCCAGAAGAGCTCAGGCATCGCGTCACACGGGCAGATGGGGTTTTTCCATGTTCAAGCTGCCTATTAGGACAAATACGGGTATTACATAGGAGCACCATGGGTGACAGGCTACTTTCGGGTGGGCATCTTAGGTATAGCATAGCTAAAACCCATGTGGCCATAGTACTGGGAATTATGTACAGGGAAACACCTTCCTTTTTTCAGAGTGCCGTGAGCAAGAAGTTCCACAAAGGTCACTGCATAGCAGATCCAGTGCCAGTGCTGGTCTTCCTTCGGCCTGGAGAATATGTACATCTGTGTGGTTGTGGAAAAGTGTAAAACTTTGCTAAGAGCAATTTTATGCTAGAAGACCAGCAGCAGTAATACCTTGCTGGGTAACTACCATGTGCTGACTAATTCAGCCACATGTTGGGTTAACGAAGCAGCAGCAGGCATCCTGGGAATAAGAGACATTCAGAAATGATCTGAAATTGCAGTTAAGGGCAGACATTGTATTTCCTCTGTGAAGACTTAATAAGCAGAGACAGGGCATAAACAGAAAAAACTACCAGGCGAGGCTCCTCCCCTGTCTCTGTGCCTTGTTTTGCCTGACATGTCTCAGCTGGCCCTGAGTTACGCTCTGTCCGGCCAGCAGGCAGGCCGCCGCGCACAGACTGGACAAACAGGGTTTTGTAGAACAGGGATCGGGCTCTGCAGTTCCACTGTGATTTCCCAGCATGTCTGAATGTTTTTTCTGGGTGTGGATCAATTGCTGTTGAAGTTCCCGCTCTCTCTTTCTGTTCAGCTTTCTCAGACTAGAATCCCAAGCAGCACTAAAGCACTCGACCAGATCTTTAGCTTTGCCAGAGCACAGTCTTGTAGAAAATGCAGAACCCTAAGGTGTCCCATAGGATCTCACATGGATAGTCTTATCTTGGACAAGAGCTGAAATGAAATAAACAGCAGTGTTTGTGCAGGGCTGGGCAAGCCTTTAAGAAATCGGCAGGAGGTACCAAGTGAAGGTAGCGACTGAAAAGGGTGAAGACGCTGCAGTCCCTGCATTAAGGGGAGAAAAGAAGAGAAAGCCCAAAAGCCACATTAGCAGTTGGGTGTGCAGCAGTTGGGCTGGAAGAATTGGGGGCAAAATGATGATGAGAGTCAAATCTCTCTCACAGAGAAAATCCTTACTGTGCCACAGCTACTTTAATTTGCTTAAAACAAGGCTGACGGCTGCTGCTTTCCCACATGCTGCTCGTGCCTGCGCAGTCATCGTCATCTGTATAAGGAAATAGAGCTGGGTGTAGCTCGATAGCTTGGCTAGGCACGATTCAGAGAGTAACCCCTTGTTCTACAACCAAATTAAAATCAGATGGTTTATTACATCTCTAAAGAGTTAGCTTTCCTGACAGAAATGTTAATGGAAAAGGTTTGCAGAACAAAATCCAGGCGCAATTTAGACATGCCAATAGCAGCCTCAACCTATTGTGTTTATACATAAACCCTTTTTTTATTATTTCCTTCTATAGGAAAGAGACATTGCAACATCAGCAAAGAGCTGTTTCTGGTTTTGTGCTATACAAGATTCACTGCTCTAAAATGTAGCTACATTTATCTCCCTTCTCTGAGTTTCTTGTGTTGCATATGCTAAGATTATTGCTTTAAGACCATTAACACAAAATCAGAAAGATCTCACCGGCTTGCATGGGGGATTTTTGCTGTTTTTTTCTTGTTTTTTAACTTGCCTTGTATTTCCTCTCCTTGTGGTAAAGCATTCTGTGGGGAGTGTGACCCTAACACAGACAAAATGCAATTGGGATACCTGGTAGTTTTTCTGAAGATTCAGAATTGAATCTTTTAATCCATTATTGTGTTCGTGGAGAATAGAAACTGATGGATTAAAAAAGTGGACTAGACTTGATGGCAACACAAGCAGAAAAACTTAACTTCTAAAGAATAGGTATGCCTTAGACTGTGAGGATTGTGGACTTTTTTCCTGACACATACAGGTCTTTTACAGGCTGTTATGGGGGCTTATTTCTAACCTTTGTCACATACATAGTTACTTGACCCTTTCAGGGTGCTTTCTAGAAGTGTTCACAGTACACGCCAAGTGCAGCCACCTGAACTTCCAGGGAGATGCACCGCTGCCAGTTGTAGTGCTGCTAGTACTTGGGTACCTGGGCCACAAAGGTTATCGCAGGCATTTCCATGCCAAAAATACATAAACTGTACTAAAACAGACGATGTTTAATAAGAACTGTGACTTCTAAGTGGACCATCTCTAGTTATAAGTAAACATTCACCACAAAAGATACGATGTCTGGAGGCAAAATAAAAGAAGACAGAATAAATGGAAGCTCCCATTTTAGCCAGACAACAGCTAGCTAGCGCGTATCAGTGAAGCAGCTTGTTTAACAAGTCAAAGAACTAAGCTTTTCCAAAAAAAAGAGTATTAAATGTGAACTGCCCTTGTCTTCATTCTTTAAAAGATAGACGAGTGATTTTTTTTTTTTTTTTTTTTTAAGTTAAAGATGACAACTCTCTTCCCCATTTGTATGTTGATCAATTGTTTAAACACTTCTGGTCTTGCTGTTCAGGCTACTCCGCGGTACTAGTAATAGACGATTTCAGTCTGCTGTGAGAAGAGTGTGTGTGTTGTGCTTACCTCTGAGTATACTGCCCAAAAAACTGCTCACCCAGCAAGGTCTTTATTTCATCCAGACGCTGCACTGGGGTTGGCTGCAGCATGCCATCGGGCCAGTTTGACTGCGTAGCTGGGTCTGGGAGTTGCTTATTCTGCGTTCCACTAGAAGTAGAAGTATTTGTTTCAGTAATTAGCCAGCAAATAAGTGGGTTTGGTACCATTCCCCACTTGATAGCAGGAGTACAGGGACAAATGCACTTTCTTGGCTCTCTGAACTGTGCCTTTTTCGCTGTTGTAGAGGTTTCACAGTGTAGAGGTTGTCTGAAGTGCAGTTCCTGACTTTCAAGAGCAGCACGCTTGTTAAGACAGAGGTGCCTTTATTCAGCACCTTTGCCAGGCAGTGGTTAGCAGTGCACTGCTTCCAGTACCACTTGGGCATCTTCCAGGCTCACCAAAACCGGGAGCGTTGCAGCATGGTGAAGCAATACCTGCAGATGTCACTATCTGAGCTCAGTTTGCACAAGTGAGGGCTCAGACCCCCCATCATCTTTGTCTGGGAAGCAAGCCTGGTTACAGGTGAAGGCACTGCAAGTCGTGTGCCAGCAAATGCAGCCAATGTAAAACTCAGTGGCTGTTCTGCTTGGTTGTCCAGATTGGTCTAAACACCACTATCACCAGCCCCGTGTCCTTTTTCTGTCACAGCACATCGAAATGGTGCGCTCCTATTCTCCATACTGAAACACTCAAAACCAGAGACGTTTGTAGAACCTGCAGGACTTGAACCTATCTACGCCCTACCCACAAATCTGCTATGCACACATCTCAGTTACGCAGTTTGTGCCCCATGCTTTCTCTTCTTCTGGTGCCCCAAATGCTGGAAGTCCGCTAGAGACCCCGAAGGAGGGTTGCCAGCGCGCACACTGCTGTAACTTCTGAACAGCCAGTGGAAAGCAACTGTTGTTTCTTCTCTGAGTTTTTGTCAACACATACGGTAACACTGTCAGTGATTGTAATGTTCCACCTGAAATACTAGTTACCTGCAGGATAATTCTAGCCTCCCCCAGCCCCCCATCATTGTTTGAGCTAAGTGTGAAGAAACGCAGTCGCAAAGTTGTCTGGGCTGTTCTGTAGTAGTGCCGTATTTAGTGAAAGTGAGTGGAGGGGGGGGGGGAAAAGCGTGTAGCTTAGCACACTGGGGTGCTGAAACATCTCAGAGGTTGTCCAGCGACCAGTGACTGGGCTTTGCTGATTGTTTGGACCATGAGTTCCACTTAAGCAATTTCATAAGAGACTGCTGAGGGTCTGTTTCAGTGAAGAGATGATGCTTGAGATCTTTTATTCACACACGGAAAAAAATAAAAATAATTCTAAGGCTCATATACTGCCAGAGCAGAAAGATAACTCTGTGCTAAAATCTAGCAAACTGGTCAGCCTCAGCACTGGATGTCTGCAATTTTAGGAAAAAAACCAGAAAATCAGTATGCTGTATGAAGTGAAACTTGGAGACAAGCTTGGGATGACATTTTAGGGGGTGAACTAAGTGTGTCCTTATCTGATGGAATCTGTTCATCAAGACCTTTAGCAAAAATAGCACTGGTGAGGTAAAATGACAATGAGTTCCCCTTTTTCTGTTCTAGGCAGGCTTCCTTTTTCCACTAGTATTCAGGCAGAAATCAGGTGAGGGCCAGATATATACTTG